TGGCCTAGTTTTCACAGTTGATATTGAGCTTCTCTAGCGGTTTTTTTCTGCAGATGTTATCGATCTGATTCCTATGCATACCATCAGGTGAAATCCATGTGTATAACCTGCATTTATGTTTCTTATAAAATGTATTTGCAATGAAGAAGTCATTGATTGTACAAAATTCAATCATTCTATCTCCAGCTTCATTTCTGTCACCAAGCCTATATTTTGCAGCTACTGATATTTCTTCTCTGTTCCCAACTTTTGCATTCCAGTGGTTAGAGAAACAAAATTAGAATGATAACATTTCACAAGATTACATCATATTTGGATTTCCATGTCCATGAATAAAGTTTTATTGCAACACAGCCACTCCTACTTGTTCAGATATTATCTGTGGCCTATGGCCATTTTCTGGGCTACAGAAACCTGGTTGAAGTGTTGAAGCAAAATACCATCAGGCCACAACATGAAAACGTTTTACTCTCTACTCTGCAGTTTATTGTGTTCCGGGTCACACTTTCTGAACAGGAACAGTAAAGGTGGAAGACGCTGTAGGAAGTTTAATTGGCATAAGAAACATTTACTTTTGCATCATTTTATCCCTTAATTCACGGTGCTGCTAATTGAAAGCACACTGTCTATTGTTTCAGAAGTTAAAGGGGGGGGGGAGCCTGTGTTTTGAATGCAATAAAAAGGGATTTATTTAAGCTGGGATCCTTTGCTTATGCTTAATGCTTCCTTTATAAGAGAAGTTCTGAATCTAATTGCTCTGTTTTAGAAGTGGGTCATTAGCCTAGTCCCTGTCTTTTACGAAACCCTCGTTCTTATGCAGGATTTCCCTCCAAAGCTCTAACTGGGGTTTCTTTTGGAAGAAGAGACAATGAGGGTGTATGGACACTTGCCCAGGTTTACACTTGGCTCTCGATCACAAGCCAGTTAGTATATTAGGTGGCATGTTACTCATATTTAGCAACCAGGAAGTGTATTTTGGATGGAGGAATGAATGTGTTAAACCACTTTTAGAGAACGTAAAATAGTCTGTTTTTCATGCACTTTAGTACTGCTTTGGGAGATAAAACTTTTTTTTTATTTTTCTGCTAGTGTAAATTTACTATCTCTGAAAACCCACTGGAGGGTCAGCTAGGAGTCGGTTCTGCCTGACCTGATAACACATACCACAAGGACAGTGTAAATCCATCTTGTTTCTTCTCCATTTCTCTTTCCCATATTTCAAAGGAGAGGAGAACATTTTTGACATTTGGCATTTGAACTGACTGAGATCACTTGTGTTCTGGATGTCCTTATATATTCTACAGAAGGGGTGAAGAGAAAGATGCTGGGAACTGGGGAGCTCTGGTCGCCTAATGGGAAGAAGCTGCCCTTAAGTCCCAAAGGAACACAGTTTGAATCCAGCAGTTCCAGGGGAGACAGATGGGCAGTCTCCCCCCGTGTGATTTATTGCCTCAGAAAACCGGCTGGAGGGTCAATTATGGGTCTATTCCAACTCACCAGCACTCAAAACAGCAAAAAAAGTAGTAATAAAGTGAATCTAGTTGTCTGCACGTAGTTGAGCGATGGGACGAATACTTCTGTATGGCACTGACCTGGCTATTATCAAATACAATTAACAGAAGCCCAGCCTCAGCTAGGGTAACACTAAAATTGCCTTCATATTGGAAAATCTCCCAAATTTTCTTTTCTAATATGTTGCCTATTGTTGTGGGGATTTTCCCTGAGTGAAACAACATGGCTAAAAATTAACTAACTAATTAAATAAAATAATATTAGTAAAACAAAAAACATATCATGGCTATCACATCTGACTTTTTATGTATTTTTCTAATCTTAATCCAGAACTTTGAGAAACGACGATAGTTTTAGATAGGCTTCAGGTCTTTTGTGCAAAGGGTTGCTATGAGATATGTTTGACTCAATAGCAATCAAAAACAACAGTCGAGATCATGAGTCTTCAGGTAACCTCAAGAGTGCATGCTTACGGAAAAATCAGTTCCCAGATAATTTTGCTCTTCAGGTCTAATTATGAGACTCTGATCCAGACTTGTGTATTTTTTTTTCATTGTCTCACTTTTTGCTCTCCCTATTAAATAGATAAGAAATTCCAAGACCATTCCCTGGAATTTGTCATGATTCCATGGCACCTAATCATGACAAGAACAGGTGACCCCAGGAAAGAGCGCTGGTGGCATAGTGCTAACATGTTGGGCTGCTCACCTAAAGGTCAGCTGTTCACATCCACTGGGTGTTCCATGGGAGAAAACTGACCAGTCGCCTCCTGTACCGACCTTATGGAAAGTACCCAAACGGACTAGACAGCAGTGAGTTTTTTTGCTGGGAATGACGCCATGAGATTTCCCATGACACATGGAGTCCCCACATGTCCTTGTCTTCTCACAGCAACAGAGAGCCATAGCAGAGGCTCCAGAGCCAGTGGTGGTTCAGTGGTGGAATTCTTGCATGTCTTCTATGGACAAGGCTGAGGTTCACTTCCCTGCCTGGACAGCTGATGCCCAGCCGTGGTGTATCCGTCAGTGGAAGCTCGCGTGCTTCTCCACTACTGAACAGATCCCACAGAAGTTCCAGAGCAAGATCACAAGGCTGGGAGATCTGTGGGTCTGACGTGCTGCTGGACATGCCTCATCCTCGTGGGGAACAGGTTCCCGTGAGGAGGAGCTGACCTTCTAGCAAGAACAGCAGAAAGAACCCCAGCAGGCTGCAGCGAGAATGCTAGAATGGGCCAGCTTCCTCAGTCAGGTGCTTTTGGGGGTTTTGTTTTTAATAGCTACATAAGCAAGTAATTAAAGTCTTGTTAAGCAGGCATGTTTTCAGATCCTTCAAAAGAAATGTTTTTAGTTCGCTTTTGAAGCTCACTTTGTTCTCCTCTCTTCGCCCTTTTGCGCAGTGGCCATCCTTTTGAAGGACGACTATTTTGTCAGCGGTGCCGGCCTGCCTGGAAGGTTCAAAGCCGAGAAGGTGGAGTTTCACTGGGGCCACAGCAATGGCTCTGCGGGTTCTGAACACAGCATCAACGGCAGGAGGTTTCCTGTGGAGGTGAGGTCTCAACACTGATGTGCCTTTTTGTGTTTGTTTCAAATTATTATTTATTTATACTGTCATTCACTTTGATACCGTGGTTTCATTCATGTACGTTTTGTTTTATGCAGCCATTTTTGTACATTGTTGTATAGAACTAAATTACTATTGATTTGTTACTTTTTGTGAGAGGAGCTGAGATCTCAAAATTGCTGCAGGTTTTTTCACTAAGGAGATGCTGTGTCTTTGCTTGTCAGTCGTTTTTCCAAACTTTTCACGCTACCTAGTGCTGTCCCTCTGCAAAATCCTTTACCTTGCATAGTGGCAAGAGCCTCCACTTTGTGTTGAAGTGATGGACGTCATGGTTTGAGCCCATTCACTCCAGGCCAATGGCTTTCACTCCTTTGGTTCTTTGACACAGTTTCTATTCACTGTCCACTTCTGAAGCCCCTCTTTCCAAAGGTAACATTTCATAGCAACTCAGTCATTTTCTTTTCACAAAAGAAAATAGAGTTGACATTTCAAGGGGCATCTCAAAACTTTCTCTCAGTAGGGAAGTTGTTCTGAAGTGGTTTGGGTTTTTGTTTACTTTTTCCTCCCTTCCTTTCGGCTACTTTAAAAAGTGACTGTAACTATAGATGGCCGAGCTCTCTTAAGCTTTGATTGGATCAGTGGTGACATTTGGTGTCCCCTGTGTTGGTTTTTCTCACTGATCCCTGCTGCCAGGAATAGGAAGGGGGAGCATACAAATAGGTCGTGTGCTGATGTGGGGTGAGACTGGGAGCAAGTTTCAAAGCTTTATTAATATAAAGTGGGAATAACACACCCCTTCCATTGCTAACCTTATATTCCTTTATAAGCACTGTGAATATCATTTTACTATTATGCGTACAAATACTGGGATGCTCATGTTTTAAGGGTTTTTTGCTGCTGTAGGTTCAGGCCTGTAGCTGTGTTGAAGCCTGGTATGACTTTGGTTCGTTATTTGTTGTTGTTATGTCCTGCCAAGTTCACTATGATTGAGTGACCCTCTGAGCCACAGACCAGATCCTGGCCCTGCCCGTTGCACCATCATCATTGTCTCTGCCATGTTCAGGGCCTTCTCGTTGAGGGCCTTTCTCTCTCTCTCTCTTTTTTTTAAAATAAATTTTTATTGTATTCTTTTTACATGTACCGTCAAATCAAATCTGACTGGTACAGGAGGAGATTGCCCCCTCCTTTTCCAGCAGAGCATCTGGTGGATTTGAACCATGTACCTCTGGGTTTGCAGTGCAGCGTCTTGCCACGAGGGCCTTTCTCTCTTTTGATGCTCTCCCTGTGACTTTCCCGCGGGATGTCATGTCTCACTGGAAGAGTCTGACTCAAAGGAGCCAAAAATGGTCAACGAAATTTGTCACAGTGTCTCACAACTTTGTTAAGTATTGGTCTCTTCTAAAAATCTGAGGCTTCCTTTGGAAACCCTTCACAGAGACTATGAACTGTATATGTACACGGGGATTTACATGCGATTTATAGTGTTTCATAGTGCATGTCTGCTCCCCAAGCCATTCTTGGATCCCTAGTGCCTTTAGGCATCCCTGACACATAGATGAGTAACTCCTACAAGAGGAGAAACTTAATATTTCCTTATTTCTTTTGCTGATTGTCAAGACTTAAGAAGACATGAGATTGCTATTTCTGGAAAATGTATCCTATTTGGTGTGTGCCACTGAACCCTCTGCTATGGAGACTATCTTTTTTTAAAAAAAATTAATTTTAATGAACATTTACAGAGCTTTTGGACTTCCACTCATTCATTGTTGCGTTTTTCTCCCTGTCCCACCCCTCCGCTGCCCCTCCTAGTTCGCTCTTCTCTTTGAAAAGTAAAAGAAAAATTCCTTCATTAATTTACAATGCCCCTTACTTCCCGCCCTGAGTATGCTCCACTTTGCAACCTTCATTCTGGACCCTTGCATGGAGACTGTCTTTAACCCATGCCTGCTGTAGAGGAAAGATCTAAACTGCCTCATCGGTTTTTCGAGGCTGTAAATCTTGACAGGAGCAAACTTCTAGTCTTTTGCCACAGAAGAGCTGGTGAGTTCAAAGCGCCAACATTTCATTTAACCCACTGCAACAAATTCTCATTACCGAATTTTTTCTTGCACTAAGGCTCCCCTCTCTGATGTTTCCTGCCCTGTCTCACTAATTATAGGTCATCTGAGTAGGGTATCTAATTAATGAGCTTTCCTCCTCCCTTTAAATTGAATGAGTCATTTCTTAGAATTCTTAGGCTTTATTTGTACTTGGAAAACGTATTCCTCGAAGCCAATTACATGATGTTTTGAAGTGTGGGGTTTCCCTTCTGACCTGGTTGACCACTTCCCACTGAGTTGTGAGTTGAAGGAGGAGTGTGTATCCAAGCCAACTTTGCTCTGAGGCCTTTTTGTCTCAGAATTGGGTTTCCATTTGTTCAGTGAATGCTGTTCCAGACAAAAGACCTGTGCTGGAAAGTTTGAAAACTTAATCAGGCTGCTCCATTGGAAAAGAAGCCCCCTGGGGCTCAGACTGGAAACTTAAGCCTCATTCATAATCACTTCACTACCCACTGCCCATGATGCCCAGATGGCCCTGGCTCCTTTGTGCTCATGAAGCTGGGAGAATACATCCAGTAGTTGGGTATTCATCTGAAAGCTTACAGTTTTAAACAAATATTTCCATTTCCCTTTGCTCAGAAAGAGTCCTGGAATTCAGAACCTGATCTGAAGCCACAACACCTGTGGCCTGATTTACAGTTCGTCTCCGTTCAGTAGATTTCTTTTTTTCTTTCTTTCTTAAGAGTAATGTCAGATGGTAAAGCTGCGTGTATTAATTTGGTTCCTCGCGGAAGCCTATCTAGTTCATTGCTTGCTCGTTTTAAAACGTGGTAAACATGTTAAGTCACTTAGTGGATATATTTGGAGGAACTTGATTTTCAGAGATTAAAGGTGACTGGATCAAATTTAACTTTAAAATATGCACAAGAAAGTTGCTCTCTTTATCCTGAAGTGTGTCTGTAATATTTTATGTTAATTTCCTTTACTGGAGTTCTTTAGTAACACGACAAAATCCCCCTAAGATTTTTTTTTTAATGTATGCTTATGCTTATATAAAAAATAGATGAGTCATTTACACGTATTGGACTTGGTTTATTTCTTTCCAAATAAATAGTTTCCTAAGACATTAGTATGAAAGTGAATATTGTCGTTGTTGTTGTTATGTACTATCAAGTTGGGACCAATACATAGCTCACCCTCTACTGGGTTTATAGAACCAATTAATGGTACAAGGGGAGGAGATTGCCCATCTTTCTCCTGTGTAACAGCAGCTGGTGGATTTGAATCACCTACCTTTGGATTGGCAGCACAGCTCCTTACCACTAGGTTATCAGAGCCTCTTAAACCTTTTTTATTTTTTTTTTTTCATTTACTCTAGGGTAAGTTCTCCACAGTGGGGGCTTTCTTCACTTGCCTCTGATGCCTAGTGAGGCACCAGAAAAGAGTGTTGCTGAGTGAACTAGAAGTCATAGAATGAAACTATGGTCCTCAGCCTGGGATATTATTGCTTTTAAGGAATAATTACTGTTATCTGAAGACTTTTTTTCCTTTTTAAGTTGTGGTAACATGTGTAGCCCAGCATTTGGCAACTCATCAATTTTTTTTATTTATAATTCAATGAAATTCATTACGCTCCTCTTACTACACTCAAGTATTATTACTACCAGTTTCTAAATTATTGTTGTTGATTGCTATAGAGTCGAGCACAACATAGAGACCCTATGAACAAAAGACCTGAAATGAAGCCTTTCTATAACTATCATTTCTCAAAGTTCATAGAGTTTCCAGAGGTGTGTTGTTTAGGAAGTGGATGCCGCTATAGAAATTCAGTGGTCCCTTCGCACTGAATAGCCCTTCTCCTCTCCTCCTATAACTGGTCACCCCAATAAGCCTTTGTACATCTGCCTATTTCATATCAGAAGGCTCATAAAATATCTGTCCTTTCGTGCCTAGTTTCTTCCACTCAATGTAATGTTTTCAAAGTGAATCTAGATTGTAGCATGTACCAGAACTTGGAGGCATTTGTGATTGTCAGAATTGGGGGCAGTTAATTGTAGGTTACTGGTGTTTGATGGGTAGAGATGCAGAATGCTATTAAATACCCAATAATATCCAGGGCAGCACCAACAGTAAAGAATATTTGGCCAAAAATGGCAAGAAGACCATGATTATGAGAACCTGAAGTAGAGAAGTCAGAGTCTTTAATAGAATTGAGTCTCATTTTTTTTACATCAACAAAGCTCACTGCCATCAAGTCAGTTCTGACTCTTAGTGACTCTCTTAGTGGGTTCTTGAGGCTGTAATTTGCTATGGGAAGAGATTAGCTGTCTTCCTCCTGAATGAGCCTCTGTTGGATTCGAACCATAGGAGATTTGCAGCTTTTGGGTTAAGAGTACAACTCATTATGGGCTATATGACCAAAGGTCTGTATTTACTTGTATACCCAACTTATTGTCATTGATTCAGACCCAAATCATAGCTGACTCTCTTGAGACTGAAATCACATGGAAAATTCCTCAACTTTTTCTCAGAGAGCTCCTAGTGGATTCTGATCTCCACCTGATTAACAGTGCAACTGCCGATGGGCCGTGCTGCCCGAGCTCTGTATTTACTTGTATAGTATGGGTTTATGAACATTTAAATAGGAGGATTCACCTCTTGAGGCATTTTCCTGTTATCTTGTAATTTTCAGAGAGGAAATGTGCCCAGCTTTTCAGCCTGTATCAGCATTGTTGATGTTTGTTCTCTTTGAGTCTATCTGCTGCTAGACCTGACCATGGAGATTTCATCTTTCTGGGTACTCTGGTTTTGCAGGTTGATTTTTCAAACATTTGTCCCCACTAGAAGTTGAATCTGCCCCCTCAGTGTGAACTGGAACAAACACAGCTTTCTAGGTTTTGCGGCCTCCTAGGAATTCTCTAATAATTTTACATATCAAAACTCTCC